TTCGGACGTGGACGAGGAACTCTTTGTTAGTGCTGATGAGGGAGAGATAGAGGTGGTGGACCACCAGACCTACCGTGAAGATGAGAGGTACATCTACATCAAGTTTGAAGTTATGGCTGAGGCAAAGACGGCTGCTAGCCGGTTTAGAGAAATGTTTGCTGCTATGGGTATTGCTGTTGAGATTGACATCCTAGATCAAGGCTCCAAGAAGATAGAGCTGCGTATTGGGAAAGCCACACCTCCTGCCCCAGGGCAACTGAGAACCCTGGTGAAAAGACCACCGCCTCCTTTGCTTACATCTGACACTGGTAAGTGACGCATGCAGGGCAGGTGGGGCCCAATTGACCAGCTTTTTTTAATCCTAGTTCAGATGCAGATTGCGTGGCAAGTCCCCCTCCCCCCTTGGGAAATAAAGACACAGGACACGGTATTTAAGGTTAATGGGCGGAAAAGGCCACAACTTTATTGATTGCAGGAATTGAGTGGATTTGGCTTAGGCATTGGTCCTATCAACTAACCGGCTTCAGCCCGATAGCATGAAGGCTGGTAAGGGTTAACCATCAGTGGGGGGAGTCCTGCTGATGTACATCAACTAGGAACTCCCCCGGGGTCACCACTTGGGGGCGTGCCTTAGGCCCACACCTCCATAGGCTTCGGACAGGGCAACACCCCCCGGAATCCTTTACCGGACTACCCTTCAATATATGGGGGAGGTGATAGCGCTTCCTTCCCCCCTCATTTGCATAAAAATACCCCTACCAATGCCTAACCGCCAATGCTGAGAAGTTGTGACGATTTGCTACGAGGTAGGCGAAAAACCACATGGCTGTGCCAATTTGCCAAGCGGAAAAAAAATCCTACCAGGCCCTTTGATGGCGACCATAGCAAGGTCAGAGCAGGGACTAAGGGCAGGCGGGGTGGGAAACTGGGTCAGCTGGAACGGTGAAGAGAGGGCAGTCCTCGGGCACGCAGGCCCTAAATAGCCCGGGTCATGCCTCCCTGTCCAGCCAATTGGCTGGACAGGGAGATGACGCACCCGAGGATTTCCTCATTCTCGCGGGGGCTGTGAGTCAGCCCCCGCATGTGTGGGGAGGGCATGGGCCCGCAACCCCACCTCCTCTCCAGTTTGGAAATGGCTTTCCCCAATCACCTGAAATCTCAGGGTGGTAGTCAACAAAGTTATACTCAGAGTAGACCCACTGAAATTATGTTAGGCCGATTAATTCCAATAGACCTACTCTGAGTACTATTTAGTCGAATACCACCCATAGTATCAAAGATCTGTAAATCCTGACATAATCAGGTACCATTATGAAATGGTGGTTTGAAGATGACTGAGATCAGAATTGTTTAATTCGTTTACAGCTTGGTAATGTTTGCATTCTGCTCTTCCTCAAGGGAGCTCAGAGCAATCTGCATTAAGTTCTCATTTGATTTCCCAAACTTGCTTAGCTACAGGGCTTGGAAATACATAAACCCATGGGCTCTGTTTTGCTTTTGTTAAAATTTATAATAATAAACCTCTCTCCCAAGTATCGAACCAAAAGGATACTTCTGAAAATGCACTATATGCTCCACACCTTGGAGAAACTGAGTGCAACAGTGGTGTCTCCCCACCTGTGATTCCCATCATCTGGTATGCACTGGTATGCTGCCTCCGATAGTCCCTATGGATCCTCCATGATTTCCCCCCTAATCCTCTTTTACATCCACCCAAGTTGGTGGCTATCATCATATCACCTTTTTGAAGTAGGTTAGGTTAGAGGTTGTCCGTCCTCAACCCCAGAACCTTTCCCAAAAATTAGAAGTCTAGTTACAGCAGAAGTGCTTATCTTGTCACACATGTACCTGGGATTACAAGAAGATTGCAGTTTGAATTTAGCATGGCACCAAAACCAAAAAAGGCACCATGTATAGAGCGAGGCGTGGAGGGAGCTACAGATACTTTAAAGGTAAAGGTAAAGGGACCCCTGACCATTAGGTCCAGCCGTGGCCGACTCTGGGGTTGCAGCGCTCATCTCGCTTTATTGGCCAAGGGAGCCGGTGTACAGCTTCCGGGTCATGTGGCTAGCATGACTAAGCCACTTCTGGTGAACCAGAGCAGCACACGGAAAAGCCGTTTAGCTTCCCGCCGGAGCAGTACCTATTTATCTACTTGCACTCTGACGTGCTTTCGAACTGCTAGGTTGGCAGGAGCAGGGACCGAGCAATGGGAGCTCACCCCGTCACGGGGATTCGAACCACCGACCTTTTGATCAACAAGTCCTAGCTCTGTGGTTTAACCCACAGTGTCCCTACAGATACTTGCCACATAAATATGTAGATTTCTGTTTTAGTAATTATCCTCAAAACAATTCCAGCTCCCATCTTCATAACTGAACTTCAAAACCAAGAGGTACAGGATGGATATCCAGTCAGTTTTGACTGTGTTGTTATCGGCAAGCCAACCCCCACCATCCGGTGGTTCAAGGATGGGAGGGTTATTGAAGAGGACGATCACTACATGATCAACGAGGACCAGGAAGGCTGCCACCAGCTGATCATTACTGCTGTGGTCCCTCTTGACATGGGCGTCTACCGCTGTCTGGCTGAAAACAGCATGGGCGTGTCTTCAACTAAAGCTGAGCTGAGAGTGGACTGTGAGTATTACCCAGAGACACAGAAATACTCAAGTTCAATAATGATGACCTGGAATAATAATAATAATAATAATAATGAAAATTTTATTTGTATCCCGCCCTCCCCGGCCAAAGCTGGGCTCAGAGCAGCTAACAAGTAAAAATAGCACAGTGTACATAAAATCACACAGTCAATTAATTAAAATACATTCTAAAATCAATTCAGAATCAAATTAATGGCAACCATTGGGTTAGAGTTCTATGAGGATTACAGAAGGAGAGAGGGGGTCAGACTGTGCCTTGGCCAAAGGCCTGGTGGAACAGCTCTGTCTTGCAGGCCCTGCGGAAAGATGTCAAGTCCCGCAGGGCCCTAGTCTCTTGTGACAGAGCGTTCCACCAGATCGGGGCCACGGCCAAAAAAGCCCTGGCTCTGGTTGAGGCCAGCCTAACCTCCCTGTGGCCCGGGATCTCCAAGATGTTTTTATTTGAAGACCGTAAGGTCCTCTGTGGGACATACCAGGAGAGGCGGTCCTATAGGTACGAGGGTACTAGGCTGTATAGGGCTTTATAGGTTAAAACCAGCACCTTAAACCTGATCCTGTACTCCACCGGGAGCCAGTGCAGATGGTATAGCACCGGGTGAATGTGATCCTGCGGCGAGGAGCCAGTAAGGAGTCTCACCGCTGCATTCTGCACCCGCTGGAGTTTCTGGGTCAGTCTCAAGGGCAGCCCCATGTAGGAAGTGTGAAATGCATCACAACCAGTGTGGCCTGTCACACATAAGTAAGTGCATAGGGGGCTGTCAAATTCAAAGAGGATGGTGAGATCATTGTCAGTTTAGAAATAGGCAAATGCTCGTTGTGGGTGAATCCATCCCTAGTTTGCTATGCATTCAGGGCATTCCACACACCACAAAATTCCTGTGTGAGAGGCATGAATAAGCTTCTGGCATATAGATCATTTGTTCCGGAGGTCCGTTCTTAACCTGAAGCTGCTCTTAACCTGAAGCAGCACTTTAGCTAATGGGGCCTCCCGCTGCTGCCGCGCCACTGGAGCATGATTTCTGTTCTCATCCTGAAGCAAAGTTCTTAACCCGAGGTAATATTTCTGGGTTAGCCGAGTCTGTAACCTGAAGTGTATGTAACCCGAAGCATATGTAACCTGAGGTACCACTGTACTGGGAAGTCAATCACAGTTTTCCAGCTTAAATATAATCAGCAACTCCTCCCCACATTAAATTTTATGATAGAGTCATAAAATCATAGGATTGTAAAGTTGGAAGGGGCCATAGAAGCAGAATTGTAGAGTTGGAAGGGACCCCAGTGTTCATCATATGGCTGTATACACACCCTGATTCCTACATGCAGCTGTACATGTGGACAGCAAACATTTTCTCCCTGTGCTCTTGTGAGCCTCCCTAGAAGTTGGATCCTTACCCCTGTCTGCAATGTGTTGGAACAGTCTGAAACGTCTTTTGAACAACACCTTCTGGGGCTCTCAGTAACTCCACTTGCACTTCCACTGTTTTGCTGCGTAAGCAGCAGGGAGTACATTTTGAGAGTAAAACACTAATGCTGCCAGAGGACTGGTCCAAGGTCTGAGCACAACCTCCTCTCTGCACAACTGCCTGGGCCTCCCCTGCGTTGCCTCTGTTTGTCCTCCTGACATGAAGCAACTCACAATGTTTTGATTTTTTTCTTTTCCATTTCTTAGTGACCAGTACAGACTATGATACAGCAGCAGATGCAACGGAAACTTCATCCTACTACAGCGCCAAAGGGTATCTCTCCAGGTAAGCGCCACCTGCACACTGGAAAACATTACACTGTCATCACAATGTTGTTGTTTAGTCGTGTCCGACTCTGCATGACCCCATGGACCAGAGCACGCCAGGCACTCAGGGCTGATTTCCTTAAGAATGGATAGGTTTGATCTTCTTGCAGTCCATGAGACTCTCAAGAGTTTCCTCCAGCACCATAATTCAAAAGCATCCATTCTTTGGCGATCAGCCTTCTTTATGGTCCAGCTCTCACTTCCATACATCAATACTAGGAAAACCATAGCTTTAACTATACGGACCTTTGTTAGCAAGGTGATGTCTCTGCATTTTAAGATGCTGTCTAGGTTTGTCATTGTTTTTCTCCCAAGAAGCAGGCGTCTTTTAATTTCGTAGCTGCTGTCACCATCTGCAGTGATCATGGAGCCCAAGAAAATAAAATCTCTCACTGCCTCCATTTCTTCCCCTTCTATTTGCCAGGAGGTGATGGGCCCAGTGGCCATGATGTCATCACAATATTAGTATACAAAACCAATATTGGTATATAAGAGTTGGAAGGGGCCACGAGGGTTATTTAGCCCAACCCCCTGCAATGCAGGAATCTTTTGCCTGATGTGGGGCTTGAACCCCCACAACCTTGAAATTAAGAATTTAATGCTCTACTTTATTGAGCTATCCAGCAGCTCATTGTGGCCACAGGAACCTTCTGTGTTGGCCACAGCTCATGGGAGGCTGTTTTTTCACCAGAGCTTTGGGTTATATGTCAAACGTTTCATTTATTCCTCCCCGCCTGAACCAGCCGTGAACAAGAAGGAGTGGAATCTATGACTGAAGAGGAGCAGCTGCCACAGATTCTAGATGAACTTCACGACATCCATGTAGCTCCTGGAGCAGCTTTGGCCAAATTCCACCTGAAGGTGAAAGGTAACCAAAACTCCCCACCTCTGCTGTGTGTCAACTTTCGGCAGAACCTACTTACTTTTTCATAACACATATCTACAGTTTAGGATTATTATTATATTTATTACCCACCCTTCACCAGCAGGTTGCAGTACATCTCTTCAATACGTTCATATTCTAAAGATGAATTTCTGACCCAGTGGGTGTCATCTAGCTAAATAGATACTCTAGTGCAAGGATTTCTGCTTGCACAACAAAATTTCTCCTTTCCATGCCTCCTGTGTCCTCCCCAAATCTGCTCTGGAGAGTTGGGGGGGGCATCAGATCAGAAGGTGATTGGGGAGGCCTGACAAAAGAACAGTGGCAAAAGAAATTGATGGACTATGTGGAATTGGCAAAAGTAAAGGTAAAGGGACCCCTGACCATTAGGTCCAGTCGTGGCCGACTCTGGGGTTGCGGCGCTCATCTCGCTTTGTTGGCCGACGGAGCCGGAGTACAGCTTCCGGGTCATGTGGCCAGCATGACTAAGCCGCTTCTGGCAAACCAGAGCAGCGCACGGAAACGCCGTTTACCTTCCCGCCGGAGTGGTACCTATTTATCTACTTGCACTTGGATGTGCTTTCAAACTACTAGGTTGGCAGGAGCAGGGACCGAGCAACGGGAGCTCACCCCGTCGTGGGGATTCTGACGCACAAACTACGTGACAAGGACAACTGTGACTTTAAAGAGGAATGGGAACCTTTTACAAAGTGCTTAAAAAAACAACAAAATGAGCTGGACTCCTTGGCAGGTTTTGAATAAACATGCACAATTTTTTTTGTTAACATAATAGATGGAAAACATAGAGATTTTTACATTTTTATAACATGCAGAGAACAATATATGTAAATAAATCAGAAAGAGGAGCTGAGGGACGTTGTGAGGGAGGGGGGTATGTGGGGGTGGGAGGGGAAAAATGGGGGGGAATACAATTGTTGAAATAATTTGTTATGTGAAAATAACCAATAAAAAACTTTTTTTAAAAAAGGAGGTGCCTGGGGAGGGGGAGCTATTTTGCTTAACCTTCCGTTAGCAAATCTGTTTAGCTGAATAGCGCCTATTGTTACTACTCTTTCCTTGGAGGGGTACATGTGTGTTATAATAATAATAATAATAATGAATTTAATTTATATCCCGCCCTCCCCAGCCGAAGCTGGGCTCAGGGTGGCTAACAACAATAAAACAGTGCAACATTCTAAAAACATTATAAAAATTAATTAAAATCAAATTGATGGCAACCATAAGTTCTGTAAAGATTGTTCACAAGAGCTAAGCATGGGGCTAGGAAATTTAACCAATCTCTTCTCACTTTTCTTTTTGATATGCCTTTGATATCTATTCCTACCTGTCTTTATTCTGCATAGGTTACCCACAGCCTCGCCTCTACTGGTTCAAAGATGGTCAGCCTCTGCATGCATCAGACCGACTCTTGAAGACAGACAAGAGGGAGTTTCACGCCCTTGAAGTTCTCAACGTTACAAAGCAGGATGCTGGTCAATATTCTGTATTTATTAGGAACTCGGCTGGTTCAGCGTATTCAGCGGCCAGGTTGCTTGTCAAAGGTTAGCCGTGTGATGCTGAAATGGTGGCTTATGTTGTGCCCAGAAGTGTGTGTGAGGCCTACTGCTCTCAACAAGAATAACAAAGGCATGGTATATTGCTTATCCAGTACCAAGCAGCCTGCAAAACAAAATTTAAAATTAAAACAAGGGATAGCTAACTGGCAGAACAATTTCTCTGGCTCCTGGGCACCTTAATAAAAGTTAGCAGGAGGTGCACCAAATATCTAGTTTTATTTTTGAGCTAGAAATTAGTAAAATGGTGGGGTAGTATTTGTCTCCCATACCCCACTCACATTATTTTTTGATAATATTCTCCTTCTTAAATGCCATGGTTTCACTTTGTAGCCACATCTTCTTCCTACATACAGGTGAAACTCGAAAAATTAGAATATCGTGGAAAAGTTCATTTATTTCAGCAATTCAACTTAAAAGGTGAAACTAATATATGAGATAGACTCATGACATGAAAAGATAGATATGTCAAGCCTTTATTTGTTATAATTGTGATGATTGTGGCATACAGCTGATGAAAACCCCAAATTAACAATCTTAGAAAATTAGCATATTAAATGAAATCAGCAAAACAAGGATTGCAAATAGAGCAATATTGGACCTCTGAGAAGCAGAAGCATGCATATGTACTCAGTACTTGGTTTGGGCCCCTTTTGCATCAATTACTGCCTCAGTGTGGCATGACATGGATGCTATCAGCCTGTGGCACTGCTGAGGTGTTATGGAAGACCAGGAAGCTTCAATAGCAGCCTTCAGCTCTTCTGCATTGCTCAGTCTCATGTCTCTCATCTTTCTCTTGGCAATGCCCCATAGATTCTCTATGGGGTTCAGGTCAGGCAAGTTTGCTGGCCAATCAAGCACGATATTATAATTTTTCAAGTTTCACCTGTAATTTAGTCAAGGGTGATCCATCTAATCATGGAACAAGTCTCCATGGCCCACTGGATTTGGCTGTGTGTTGATGTCACGAAGATGAATGTAGACCCTAGCAGGCAAAGGCAATGAAAGTAAATTATGTAGACATTTTCTCAAGGCACACATTTAAAAAATCAGTGTGAAAAGGAAGTCTTTTTGATATGAAATGGCCACCCTCCCAAAAAATGTGAATAGCTTCAACACTACTCTAATTTTAATTGTTGTTTGGTAAAAAGCAGATCCACAATTTTCCTACAAGGGGATTCCCCCCCCCCCCAAGAAGCTAAAATTTCCACATTTTATTGGACTCCCTCTCTTTGGGTTTTGTAGGTAATGCAAATCTTTGTGTCCTGTTGTTTTGAACCCTTATTGGTAACTGGGACCATTTAAAGAATCTGACCACCTATGAAGTGCTTTGAATTTGTAGCAAAATGGACTCACAGATCTCTTTCTAAAGAAGAGAACAGCCCTACCATCCAAGAATTCAAAAGTTGGCCGTGCCAACTTAGAGCAGATGGACACAACCCATCAAATCGTTGGTGGGTTTGCTGGATGTCTAATGTGATGCCAAAAAAAGAAATGGGGATCTTTGTTAGACACATTGATCACTTCCAGGCTAGGGTTGCCCTATTTCAAAAGGGAGATTAAACAATGTTTATTCAATTCGTCCTGATTTGGTTGTGAAGAAGCTGGGTGATGTTGTGTCCAAACAAGTGTTGACCCCACACTTTCCAGTGCATTTTCCTGCCACTCTCCTGATCACAAAAAGGCCAATATTTTGCAGAAGCAGGCTTCTTGCACAGGGCCTCTCAGACAGCTATAATTGTGCAGCCTGAATTTGCTGCTATGTGACTGAATCCCACTCAAAATTAGCAACAGTATGAAAGCCCCTTTGGTGGAAATGGAGGCCTAGCACTTGCTATACCATTTTGGACGGCAGGTGTGGGCTCACGTGATCTGTCACCTGATGGTGCTGCTGTTCTTTCAATTTTGCAGGGCTTGGTGAGGAAGAAGAGAAACCCAGAAGAGGTGAGGAAAAAAACAAGAGGAGTTGGTGGGAACAAAGGTCATGGCTGCCCTTTCAAAGCTGTGAACTCTAGAGCAGCCCCAGCTCCATGGAGCTTAGTCCTACCTGACTATTGCCACGTCACATTTTTATGTTTTTCTCTGAACAACTTAATTTTCAGATGTTCATGAGCAGCTGGTGCCGCCAAGGTTCCTGGAACGATATACCAACAAAAAAGTGAGGGAAGGTGCCAGCATTACCCTTTCAGTGAAAGTTGAAGGTAAATGAACTTAGAGGCATTCTCGCTACTACTCCAACTGCCCCCCTCCATTATTGAATTTGGCTATCCAGGGGAGACAAAGGTTGTAGTGGAGTCAATGCATGCTTTGCTTTCCAGCATACACAAAGAGAGGTCCTTGCCTCAAGGATCTTGCTTCTAAAGTTTGACACTGGGAAGAGGAAGGGAGGGAAAGGGGCAATGTTTTAGCAAGAAATTAATATGAGTAGTGCAAGAGCTGGACCATAAAGAAGGCTGATCGCTGAAGAATGGATGCTTTTGAATTATGGTGCTGGAGGAGACTCTTGAGAGTCCCATGGACTGCAAGAAGATCAAACCTCTCCATTCTGAAGGAAATCAGCCCTGAGTGCTCACTGGAAGGACAGATCCTGAAGCTGAGGCTCCAATACTTTGGCCACCTCATGAGAAGAGAAGACTCCCTGGAAAAGACGCTGATGTTGGGAAAGATTGAGGGCACAAGGAGAAGGGGGCGACTGAGGACGAGATGGTTGGACAGTGTTCTCAAAGCTATCAGTTTGACCAAACTGCGGGAGGCAGTGGAAGACAGGAGTGCCTGGCGTGCTCTGGTCCATGGGGTCACGAATAGTTGGACACGACTAAACGACTAAACAACAACAACAAAACTGTGCAGCATTTTCCCCCCATGTATTTTTAGGCTGTGAACCACCCTAAGGTCTATGGATGAAGGGTGGTGTACAAATATAATAAATAATAATAATAATTTGTTGAAATATTTATAGACCACCCTTTCATAAGAATACAGTGCATAAAATTACAATAAGATAAAGAAAGAAAAATCAATAACAGCATCAGCCAAAACATGAATAGAAACTGGCTGGTAAAAAGGATTTCATATTGCAAAGGTTTGTTTGAATAACACCGTTTTTAGGATATGTCTAAAAATGCAGACTGTATGGGGGTGGCATGGCTCATTAGCATGCCAGAGGCTT